ACAAGGCGCATTTCTAGGGCCCAAGGCGGATTTTCCGCCGACGCCGAAGCGCCTGTGCACAGGCGAACGCCTGTGCGTAGGCGAACTTCGCGCCTCCCCAAACCCTACTTCGCCTGTGCACAGGCGAACTTCCTTCGTCCGCGCATAGGACAAAACTTGATTCCCCCTTCCGCGTAGGCGGAATTCCCGCCGGTGGCGAACTCCTTCCGCCAAAGGCGAACGTCTACGTATGTTCCGATAGTGATAACTCCCTAAGTCCTCATCCGTTCCAAACGTTCTTGGGCTCGTTGAAATCAGTGCGTCGAGCTCTTTCCAACGAGACCCTAACTCGGTCAAGGCGCCCGAGGGTTGACCTAATTATGAAGGATTTCCCTACCGCCGCGGACGCAACCTCCGAAGGCGGGTTTTGCGCCTTGTGTCGTAGGGATCCTAACTGCAGAGCTCGCAGGGAGGGTGGTGCCCATCCTTACTGCTGCACCCCAAATCCTAGATTCTACAAGATCCCTCGAGAATCCCCGCGATCTTCCGGATTCACTCTGTTTTGCTGTACCGAAGGCTATTTACAATGCTGCCAGGGTACAGTTTTTTTCAAAAATGTTTTAATTTCCTCAAAATTACCAAAAGTGGGGTACCACAGCTCCCAACCTGTTTTTTCACAACCAGGATTTCACACTTGCTGCTATAGTGCAGTTTTAGCCTTTGGTGGGTTATTACAATTGCTCGCTGTCCCAGTCATGCGTCGGGCAAACAACGAGCAAGCCCGACCAAAGTAGAAGGCTCGCAAGCTGATTTTGCCACCGGGCAGCAGCGCGGACACGAGGCGAGCTGCAGTTGCGAGGAACTCACCTTCCTCCGAGGAGGATGTGAGTACAGAGGTTCTTGGGAGGTCGACTGACCTTCCTGCGCCGAAGGCATGAGTGCCTTCAGAGGAAGCACTTCGGCCTTCGGGCCACAGAGCAAGGCGTGCGGCAACGGCCTGAATGCTTGCGCAAGAGATATGCTTGCCTTCAAAGCAAGTACCGTTTGATGACTCGCCTTCGGAGCAAGGGCTTTCGGGCCAAGCGCCTTCGGTGCAAGAGCAGTTCAGGGTGGTGCCTTCGGCGCTGAAACCCCTAGAGCACATTCCTACGGGCGAAGGCAGGAATGCGGAGCCACGTGTGCCTTCGGTGGAAGCGCCTTCGGCAGTACCAGATTGGGAAGATGTAGTAGATCCACCTGGGGCAGGTTCTCCCACCCCGTTGGAAGTACTAACAGGACATGGAGTGGAGACCGCAGCAGAGGAGGCTGCGAGGGCCATTGCTAGAGAATCGCCGAGGATTTCTCCAGCAACAGAAATCCTTGAGACAGAAGAGGACACGCCTTCGGAGGAAGAGGAGGTACAGTCGGTGCGGGGTACACCGACCGGAGTGCTCTGCGAGCAGATGGTACCGATACCCCGGTACCTTGATTGCAAGGCGACCAAGTACGGGGATCCCCGCCAGTGTGGATCCTATGTTGAGCTGGTCCAAAATCGAACTCGGATCAAGGTGGCGACGAATCCCGAATTGATGGTCCTTGACAAGAAGTATCTGCTGTTGGAGGAGCGCTACAACTTCCTACATGATCATTGTGCCTTATCTCGGAAACTGCAGAAGACGACGATTCAGCTACGAGATGAGATGGTGATCAATGCGCGGCGCGAAATTGATGAGCTGCGTGCGAAGGTCTAGACGGACCTCAGTGCCGAGCAGGCTCAAAGCCGCACTCTAGTGGATGAGCTCGTGCGGAAGACGCAGACGAGGAGATGCTGGGTCGACTGCTGTTGCAGTGCGACGAATTGAGGACGCAGCGTGCGGCGGCGGAGTTACAGTTGGGAGAGGTTGAAGGCCACAACCGGCGCGCGACAAATCGCACGCGGGAGGAATTAGTTTCGTGGGTTGACCGTTGTCTGAGAGGTTATGCTCGCTGGGAGATCGCGGCGCGGGAGAGGATGACGTTGCGTGAACTAGAGATGCGTGCGACAGCTTTGATGGCTGGCGACGAACAAAGTCGGCGGCGGGTGGCGAAGCGGTTGGAGTCATTCCTGTCCAGGTCGCGAAGTGCCATTGCGAACCTCGAGGCAGAGGTTACCAAGATGTTGCGGCGGCTCGGATTGCGTAGCAGAGCAGACGAGTGGACGGGTAGGGAATTAGTGAGTTGCCGGCCGATTCATAGGAGGCATAGCCGATGAGGTAGAGTGTTAGGTAGTTAGGATTTTAGAGTGTATAAAGTAGTCCAAGGCGTTGGCCTTGTGGGATTTTCCAGTTTCAGAAGCTCAGTTCAAGAAGTCGTTTTCTCTGCGCGTTTGTGACTTTTGTTCTGTCACCGCGCAAGAGGAGTTATAGATTCATACCGCAGCCTACAGCCGAAGGCATTCGCCCAAGCATTATGAGCTAGCGTAGTCTAGTCAGGATCTAAGCAAGTCGGACTTACACCTTCGGACGATTTTCCCTGTTTGTATTCCTTCGGGATTTTCCCCCCTGAATACAAAAGCGAAGTTTTGTTAACTTCGGAGTAAGAGTTGGTTGATTTCAGGTTGAGTGTGTTAAGTTGCCAGAGTCGCCTTCGGAGGTAGCCTTTGCAGTAATTCTGGGAATGACAGTTGCCTGAGAATTCAAACTCGTTAATAGACCATTAAGTTGTAACACTTGGTCTTTTCTCAATTTAGTTTCTCAGTTCGGATTTCTATATTCTCTGCGCGTTTCGTGAGTTGAATGTGTTGTTCACCTCGTAAGAGTGACTTCGGTTTGACGAAGGTACCGCATCCGAAGTAGGAATTCCAACCCGAATGCTCTACACTAGCAGTGGTTAGTGATAGGGTTTAAGCAAATTCAGAGTTGGTAGCTACTTGTAGATCCTCTGAATGTACTCTTGGGAAACTTTCCCCCTGAATCTTAAGTGGAGGTCCTGATCGACCTCTGAGTTGTGCCTTTACAGTTTCAGGTGTGTGTTTGGGGTGTACTACGCTACATTGTGTGTCCTCCGAGTGACCTCCGAGTTGAGCACTTGCAGTATTTCTGGCAGTGACAGTAGCCTAAGAATTCCAACTCCTTAATAGACGGTTAAAACGTGACACTTTGTACTCTGGGTGTTGTCTCTGTCCCTATGGGTTCAATCCTTTGTTGTTATACTGTAATTTAGCCTTGGGTGGGTTATCACACCAATGTCCAGGCTGACGGAGTTCAAAAATGAAAACGGACGAATATCCCATGCACGCATGTTGACGAAAGATTTGGTCCTGATGATCTTGGCAGAGTCGGTTCGTGTGCCCTTCTTGGTTCTCCAAAGGAGTAAGCTGCTCGTGTTAGCTGCAGCAGTCACACGCGAGCAGGTGTGTGTGGTCATTGACGAAGTGCCGTTCCGGAAATTGTATACGTAAACAGTGAAGCAAGTGGGTTTGATGCAGGCGCACAAGTACACCTTTTTGGTATGCACCTTGCCATCCGACTCCACAGGTACCTCGATGCACATCCATTCACCAGTGATCTTCGAAACCACCTAAACCATGCGTTGCTATTGTTTGTTACTCGATGGCCGAGTCTTGCGTAAACGGCATCACTTGATATTGCAGATTCTTGCTGCTCAAATCAAGGGATATTTTCTTCTTGAAGTTATCAAGCTACACGAAGTTCTCCATGACGAGCGTGTACCAACTAACAAATAACAATGGACCCATGTTGCCAGTCATCTTTGGATGTGGCATTTTATTCTTAAATCCTAATTCATGCACACTTTTCGTATAATTATACTATACCTTTTCATAAAAATCATCTCCAGGATGATTTCTTCAATACTAGAACAGAAAAGTATAATAAACTATGATTAATTTGAGTAATTTATAGAAAATTTATGAAAATTTTATTTTTTGTCTTGTCTAAGGCGCACCAACAGCATGCAGCCGGCCACTTGTTAAGATCCTGCACGCAGTCGTAGCCAAGTTGTGGTTGCGGACGGCTAACAGCCAACCGTTGGATCGCACCACGATATCAATTTGATGTAGCAAACACTTGACATATGAAATATAGTCTAATGACCTCCTGAATACACGTGACAGCTCTAGATAAATGTCCGGTCATTTTAGTAGCATACTGCAAGAAATAGCTTTGAATATATCTCGAACATGGCCATTCCTATACGTCTACTAGATATGGAATTGTAATAAGGTGAAGATTCTCAATAGATGCTATTTGATAAAATTGAATGCGAATATCAATCCAAGATAATCCATGCAGGTCAGAAGATGCATCAAAGGCTACACAAAAGATTCATGTGGATTGCAGCATTTGTGTGACGCTTTCAATGAGTATGACACATGCCAATTTAACATAGGAAGCTACTTGATATTCTTTGCAAAATCCAAGTTTGGGAATGTCACAGAAAGCTTCCTGAACAACATCATTGGAAAAGACATTATTCTAACAAATAAACGCATTACCAATTCGCACTGCTTCTTTTGGCTGATTTGGATGCAATACTTGTCATCTTTAGTAGGTTTAAAGATTAACATTGCATTTGCATGAGATTGTACATCCAAATCGCTTTCATTCCAAAGCATCTCTCCTATAATTATGTTAACAATTGAGTCTCGGATCACAAAAGTTGTCATGGCAGATTGGATTTCCACAAGATTACAAATAGTTCCCAAAAGTTTGACATCAATAGCAAAATATTTGGACCTATTCTCTGTTCACCGCCTTTGATACTTTCCTCATCTAATTTGGTGATTGATAAGAAGATGTTGCGTTCAGTTGTAGTTATGAAAGGAGTACACTTGAATATCCAGGAAGATTTTTCAACAAATTCTTCACTTACAAATCAGAGACACCGAACAACAATCGTCTCGGAGGTGTGAGTATCATTACTTGAGATACAGAGTCCATATTGTGGTTAAGTTAAATACTGGTCCACGCGCCGTTTAACCCGAAACAACTCTTTAAACAGCTGTAAACCCGAAACAACTCTTTCGACAGCTGTAAACGGTGTGAAGAATGTCATAAATGTCAAACTTTTATCACTCTCTCCTAACGACACGTAGAGTGGGAAAAAAAAAAGTTTTCAAAATACGGAAGTTCCTGAAAACCAAATACGGAAGATACGGACTCCATTGCCGGAGTTCAGTATTTAGAGAGGCCTGCTCATCGGTCTATTATCGTGCAACGATCCGTGACAGGCACGTCAGTATGAACTGGCGCTTGGGTATTGGAACCTTGCACTTACTCCATCCAATTAGAGAAAAAACATGCTCTCGACAGTAAAAACCCATGTGGTGTACAATCCCAGTTGTGCACTACATCAAATAGAGTTAGGTCCTCTATGATTCCTCACTTAATGTCAATTCTCCTCCAGAGAGAATTAGAATTCAGATTTCCAATTCTCTTTGAACATCTTTCAGAGGTCTCTTACATCGACTCCTTTGTTCTCAATAAGAACATTACCGGATGGGTACTAGTGAGAGGGACTTCTGCATAACGTCCGCGCCAAAAGGCGGAATTTCGCACGTGTCGTCTTAGACGTGGACAACCTGAGTCAACCTGACATGGAACCCGTTGAACGATGATCTACAGGCCAAACTTTCACCATAGGACATTCTTCTTGGCTCTTGGATTGATGATAAAAATCAGTTTTGGGAAGAAATGAATCTGACTGTACTTGCGCTCGGTGATGCCGAATTCAGAACACCTTACGGGCTAGAAGACTGGTATGTTGGCTACAAGGATATCTACATGACTTACAGCAACTGATATATCGTTGTCAGGCGTTGGTCAGTTACTTGGCCAGATTTGCGATTGAAGATGAAACTTTAACCGTTCGTAATAAGTAGACGATGCATTCCTCGCCTGGACAGAGGTGCAGCGTGGCTCTGACAGAGTTGTAAGTTCTACACCAGTTGCTAAGCTACTGAGAAGCCTTCTATGCTGGGATCTCAATGACACCAAGTTACGAGGACGACTTCGACGTTTCCCGAGGCCAGTCTGCTCGCCATTCTCCAGGAGAAATGTAAACTCGATTTGTAACCCATCCTGATGTCTGCACCTGTAAGACAACATTGAAATACCAAAATATCATTCACTAAAGCAGTGTTGCATCAGGTGTTTCCGCTAGAATTATGGCCTTGATCATAGCGTGCAGTTAGCAACAAGGAGATGACCAAGTATATTTGAATTTATTTTAATGACTTACAAGTTTCAAGAACAGTTTGTAAGTAGTAGTCATCCAGGTCAAGGACTCAATCTCAGCAGCATCCGTGGAACCAACGAAGCCGACATTTTCGCTCCGTTCCAGAACTGCTCGTAAGTAAAGGGCGTGAACGTATCCACGAAGGCAATCTTCAGCAGTGGCATTTTGGTGTAAAATAATGTGAATGGTCGTTCCATCAATAGCAACCATGTACGTGTCTGCAATTCGACCGCCAGAGTTAAAGATACTTCGCCAAACTTACGAGACTAAACAAGCGAATGAGTAGGCATGAAAAGGTGATACAGTAATACCTCTTCCATATCGCTGAATTAGCATCCGCGAAAGAGATTCCCATCTACATATGAATTCTCAAATGTGAGCAAATTTCACCAGCAAAAATATTTTATATCTGCCAGAAACCTAGTTTCCACAAAATGAAAAAGTCAAGAGGACTGGTCTACAAGTCTCGTATGAAAGTGAAGCCAACAGAGAGTGAAGCCAGCACCATGATTGCAGAGGATAGGATCACGAGATATACCCCGCCTGAGGTTTTATGAAAGAAATACGGGATCCTAAAGATATTGACCACCGCGTCTGGCTTCTTGAAAGCTTGAAGGGTAATAATGAAGACGGATGGGGCAGAACATTCTCCATTGAAGACACTTCTTGTGGTGTAGGGACTGCACAGAATGCAAACAATATGCTTCATGATGCGTGTGCACATGTGACAGTTATCACGTTCTGTTTTAAAGGTACACGAAGCCTTGTGAAACTTCCACTCCATGCATGGCATGCCAAAGAACGAACAGAAGAGAAACAAATAAGACTCAAACCCTTACTAAATAAAACGAGTGAAAATGATTTCTCATAGATTTACAATCGGTAAAAATAACATACAAAAAGAAATTACTCTCGTTCCGTAAGTTATCGGTTTCAGAACAACCTCTTTTCCTTGAGGTAAATCCTTCTAGAAGCAACCAGGTTCTGTTGGAATTGAGACTTGTTAAACAAAGACTTCGAACAGCCCTGTAATTTGCTGCAAGCATGCAAGGTAACAACGGATATACTTAGTGACGGGCCCGAGAATAGGCTATTGTCAAAGGCAGCAAAGTTAGAGAAGGGCAGACTCTAGAGAAATTCGACCGAGGAAAAGTAGAGAGTTGCTATTCAGATTGTTTTTCTTCGTAAGAAACATGGCCACAAACAATCATCGATCCCCGGGAACAGGAATGATATACGGAGAAACACAAAGCAGACGTTCATGCTGTTCTTTAAGCAAAACCATTGACGATCACACTTGAAGCAAGATCATCCAATGCAGTCCGGTCCGACCTAAATTAAGAGCACTTACGAGCAGAAATAGCGTTGAGAAGGACGGAACAAAGAATAAGCATAAAAAAGCGAACCGGATGAGATTTGTTAACAGGAACCACGAGGGTACTGAGGAAGGGGATATTCAAGCGTAGATCCAATGGATGCACAAAAGGACTCCAGAGGCTTGGAAAAGGTCGGAAACGAGCGTGCGCATAAACCCAAACCTGCTACCTTCTAGAGGTCGTCAGATTCCTGGATAAATGTCTACTAACAGAGCAAGTGTGGTTGCTAAGCACGCCCCATATTTCAAAAGAAGCTTTATGCCTAGTTTTCTGTCCACAATACCGGGACATCATCGACATCCTGACTCTTCGACGACCCGATAGTTCAAGATGACTTACCGTACATGTGGAAAAATGTTAGTGCCAAGAAGGAAGTCCACATAGCTACATCATTTCCAGCGGTTATTCGTGCCACTGCCATCCCAAACAACATCCCAACCATCGTTGCTGCTGTCTCCTGGCTTCCTTCCTGGCATCAGTATCTTCTGTTGGTCATCATATCATACGTAACAACAGTAAATGCTAATACCACCTTCAATACAACTCGAAACTAAATAGTTAAAGCAGCAACCACTTTGTACCTTGGCGGAAACGTCTGCGGCATTCTGTCGCAACGCGAAGTGCTGAGTCAGAGCAGCCCTTGTTGCCCCACTGGCAACCCCGGCTGTTGTAACCATGAAATGCTTGCGCAAATGAATACAACTTGGAAACAAGATTTTCTACATATCAGGAGCAAAAACTGACAATGACTAATAGACATCAGGTTCATTTTAGTATGCTTGCATTGAAAGTCTAAACGCAGCTCAAAGGGAAAGACGACACGATAATCTGGATTACAAGGAAAGAAGCAGAGGAGCAGGCTCACTGATGGATCTCGCGATACTGCCGATACACAGAATCGGAAGGAATGAACCCGGGAAGAGGGGTGAAAGAAGGTCCATTAGCATTCCTGCAGGGAGCAAATAATGCTTCAGCTTTGCATTTGTAAGGGATTAGCTTAAGATATGCAGCACTACGTCCATTCATAGCAGAGGTGACAAGTCTACGCGACGGAGACGAAACACAGCTTATTCTTCGTACCCATGTCATTTAGTAAGTCGGCAGCAAGGCGCCATTGTTTTGCATTGCTATCCAAGTTTGAACCCTGAGAATGATGAAATCACGTATTTTTCCCAGTCCATACACCCAAATTAGCCAATCGCAACAGACTTTGAACGTTGTTCAGTACGTAGTAAAATGCTACCAAAACTTCGAAAACTACACATGTTTTGGGCATCTCAGAAGGTCCGTAGAAAGTAAGGAGAGAATGACACTAGAAGACGAACACGATGTCGAAGATAATACAATGAACATAGCTGAATCGACTGAAAAAAGATAGCAGTGAAGCCCTGACTTATTTGGTTGAGAAGCGTATGTCCAGATATTAGACAACATGCAATGGATTTTCAATATCGGTACATTATTAGGCTCCCCCATAAAAGCTGTAAAGCATCTCAATGTACACAGTTTCCACCCACCTATCTGGGCGTTCTGTGGGAAAACACGCTAACATTGTGATCCACGATGAGCTACTTTCTCCACGACTATACGCACTTGTGGGATATATGTACATACGAGTGCTTGGTTTGGGAAAGTTTCACAAATACACTAGTTTCCGCAATCTAGACGTCGCATAGGCTATTGCAAGGCTGAGAAATTCGCTCGATAAGCTTTGATTTATAGGAGTTGGTCACATATTGTTTTGAGGCAAGGATCGACTCCAACGAGAGCATAGTAAGAACATAAAATGACCAACATTGGGGAGGTGTGGTGGAAGGATATCATCCACATGTGAAGTAGGCTTAGCCTTAGCGCTCTGATCTCTCTTTTCAAGGCCTCAGAAATATGTTACCTGTATGAGCGTGAACAGAATTCCTCCCAGCATTCCTGTAAAATCTCGCAAGAACCACTGCATGACGACTTAAGATTCATGTCAAATCGACGTGAGCTATCTCTTGCCATTGATTGGCCGGTCTCATACGGCTGGGTTTTCATCCTGAAAATTCTTATAAAAAAATCTATATTCGATAGTCTTTACAGAGAGGACTCAACGATACGAAAGCTGTAAACAGCCATGGGCAAATTGCAGCAGCATCTATATTTGAGGACAATCCTCCTACCTGGAATGTTGCTCCAACTACTGTTGCTTTGGTTTCTCCGACGCCGATAGCTCCAAGGAGAGCCTACCATCGAACTCAATGTTTCAATTCATATGAAATTTTTGAACATATGATCAGAACTTCATTGGTGCAGTCGAAAGTTGGAAAAAGCAAGCTGTGAGCTGATATTAATCTGAGAGGGCAAATGGAGCTTGACCTGAGTCGAGAGCATGCTTCGTATGTAGGTTGACAGGCCCTAATAGGAATGCGATCAAGCCAAGAAACAAGTGTGAGACCGAAGCCAGAACCACAAAGAAAATGGGGAAAAAGGAAGATCATACATAAAAATGATACTTTTCTGGTGAGAACTGGCACGACGAGCAAGCGCATTTCAAGCAAGGTGAAACCAGCAACATTGACAGAGAAGTCCCCTTTGCTGCCAGGACTTTCCTTCTCCGCGCAACGTAGAAAGATCCATGCCCACCTGTAATGTATCCCATATTTGGAATTGCAAGTAATCAGCAGAAACACTGTTTGGATAGCCCTGCATTGCATTGAGACAACTCAATTGTGGCAGCTCTTGAGCTGTCGCACGGTATGAAGCAGAAAAGACAGAAAGTCGACGGTTTGTACAATTGATTGGACAGAGGTTTGATTACCCGTCAACGTGACTCGCTTCATTCACGTCAGAATGTACAGCATTTTTAAGATCAAAGTGCACTTTTGACAAACCAGCTTTAAGCTCGTCTTACACTGATTTAGTGTGGCCAATCGTGCTGCCGGGCAATTGTGCACAATGCAAATCAACAACAAACATACCTCGGGAAGAAAGGCAGATTTCAGACTTTTAAACGAGCCCGGCGCAGTTCCCTTCCCACCTCTACGCCGAAATGGAAGGGTAAAGCGTCAGCAACAATCCTCGCTATTTATTTCAAAACTCCAGCACAGCAGACAACTCTCGAAATTGGGAAAAATTGTATTCACCTGTGAAATCGAAACTTCAGTCCCCCACCGTCCTCCTCGGAATTACGCACCAGATCAGCTGTACAAATGGGTTGCACGGCCCCTACATTCAACTCCGTTAGCACGACGTCTCCCATCACCGCCTCCACACAACTCACAGACCAACCGAGCCTTCCTCCGGGAAAGGAAGAAAAAAGCCTTGGCGCCTGGATCCGATTTTTCCGTGCTTACAAGTGGCCAAATCCGCCGAGTTTGCGGTTACTCGCAAGTTCTGCACCTCAGACACTTACCACCCTTTGATTCCAGCTGAAAGAGTCCCACCAGTCCTGCAGATTTCTCCCACTGTACCTCGCTCGCTTGCATGCTTGCCACCAGGCGTTGACAGACGACGCAATTCTTTCATCCGTCGTCTCTCGAACCAAACTTGAGATGCAGTTGAGTACCGAAGGTTCACTACAGAACGCTGAGCTTTTGGTGGATGGATGGAGAGAGGCAGATCGAGGGAAAAGGGACCTCAATACTGGCTAAAAATATTCTACCTCGCAAGGCTGGGTCTCGAGTTTCCCGATGGTTTCAATGATAACGGGGACTTCTTGGCCAGTGTCTTTTATGGGAAGCTTTATGGTTTATTTATGCCTTTTCTGTATTTTCATGACGATTTCGACTTATACTTAAGCAGGAACGGCCGACGTTTTCTGCCTCGAAGGCTTTCAGAAATAAGATATAGTAATAAAAAAAGCCGCTAGCCTATTTTCATTTCACTTAGTGTGTTGCCGGATAGAAGAAAAAATACACACCACCGTGGGTCAGTCTATCCCTCTGTCGTCGCCCTCGGGGACGGAGCAACGGATGACGGAATTACGGGTTTTCTAGGTTTTGGACTGCAGCAGCGTACAGCGTAAACAGGGCACACTCCTTATATTTGCTCCGCGTGGTACGTCGGTCTGCCACGGGGGGGGGGGGAATGGCGTGATTTTGGTCGTTCGTTTGTCGTGTTCGAATCCTGGGAGTCCTGTCCCTGAGTTGCTCCTTCGCACGCTGCGCCTGTGCCTAGGATATGGAAGCCGTACTTTTGTAGAGTGATGCGGGTGGGAGGCTGGTTGGCTGTGGCGGGGATGATCTCGGGGAACAGAAATGCATCATTGCTGTAGCGTACGAAGGCTAGCGCTGATTGGTGGGAGTTGTAGTGCCTGCATGATGTAGGAGAAGAGGGAGGACGGGATACTTCTGTTGGGGCTGGCTGGAGAGATTCAAATCGAGCATTGCATGCCAGCAGGGCAATTTGGAATTTGGAGAATCATAGAGAGAAACGAGCGAGCATGCACGCGGAATCGTCTGCGTCGTGCTCGCCGAGGCCTAGGCCAAGGCCAGCGCGGATATCTTTCTCGACTGTGAAGTTACCAGTATTGGAACCCAGGCCACCCGTTTCTTCCTCCCCGTATTTGGCGTCTTCGTCTTCGTTTTTCTCGCGCGTGTCAAGGAAGAAGAAGAATGATGAATCACAAAATCCTGTGCAAAATGTGGTGAGATCAGCCGAGAACTTGTTGCAGAATGCTTGGGCAAGATGGGGTCCAGACGAGAAAAAGGTCGAGGAGTTTTTCAACAAATTTCTATTGGGTCATAGGGAAAGGTGGGAAAACAGATTTTTATCCGGGGCAGCAATCTGCTCCACTTCTCTTGCACTGGCTGACAATAGAGATTACAAAAGACCGGAGAAAATTGCAGCTGATAGGTTGCCAGGTGGTGGACAGGGATCAAGCAGGAAAGGGCTTTCAGTACCCGCAGGTGCTGAGGACGAAGAAAGGGTTCTTATCAGTGAAATTCTGATCCAAGACAAGGATGGGCAAGATTTAGAGGATGCAGAGCTCCTGGCTACTGTTCGCTGTGCTCTGAAGGCGTGCAAACCAAACTTCGCCCTCACGACCAGTGAAGTGCAAGAAGATGTCCATAGGATCATCGATACTGGATTTTTCGCTTCTTGCATGCCTACAGCGGAAGATACTCGAGATGGCGTCCGGCTCATTTTCAAGGTATGGAAAGAAATTTGGAACTTGGAGCTTACCCGTGAAGTCATCTTCTCAGTTCGTTTCCATAGGTTGGAACTAGAACCGGGTGACGTCTGCTCATGGCCAGGTTGATTTTATATCAGTCGTTAATAATCCTCGTTGTGATTTTGCAATTGAAGGTAGAATCCAATCAGGAGCTGAAAGGCCTGGTGTGCAACGGTGCAAATGTTCTTCCGACGAGGGTGGTGCAGGACGCATTCCACGATGAGTACGGTATGATCTGTCTTACCATTATGAAATCACAACGTTGGTGTCCATTATAGGTAAGGACACCAAAACTCTACATGGATTTTGGAGTTCTGTAACAGCACGCTTAGTTTCAACGCTTCATTCGCTATTTTGCAGGGAAGGTTGTGAATATCCAGCGGCTAAATAAAGTTCTGGATACTCTCAATGGGTGGTATAGGGACAGAGGCCTTTTTGGGCAGGTATGGCTTACAAAGTCCATGTTTTCGCTTGGTTTTTACTCCTCCATGCCCTCTCTTCGAAATGCTGTTTGGTTCAGACTTCGCCCTGTGTTTTCTGGAAGTTCAGCTGTACTGGACAGTGCATTGCACTAGGTACCCAGCAATAATATATTAATCTGAATGACTGCAGGTTACTGACGTAGAGATCCTATCAGATGGTATCATCAGAGTTCAGGTTGCTGAGGCAGAGGTCCATAACATCAATATCAGATTTCTGGATAGGAAGACGTAAGTTATCAAAGTCCAATTGTAAGTTGTTTGTAACAGTGACGGCTCAAGCTAACGATTTTTTTTTCCAGAAATTTTTTTTTTCAGAAATTGTTGTTCTCCAAAGCTTTTCAAGAGTCTTTATTGATGAAAGTTATGCTCTTCTTGTTTATGTGAAATCTCATGCAGCGGTGAGCCAACTACAGGCAAGACACAACCGGAAACTTTACTTCGGCAATTGACGACCAAGAAAGGACAGGTAGGTCTACAGAAAATTGCAGCTATTCTAACTAGTCACTGGTACGTGGCGAGCGTGGATGCCGTTTTTATTTGTACAACACAGCCTTCGCAAGGGAGGGATGTGCAATTGTTCTTTCTTGTCAGAGTGCAAAAATACGAGCTTTACATTAGGTAATAGACGAAGACTGATGTACTGGGAGTACATATTTGTACGTCCTCTTGATATGCGTGAATCTCAACGGATGAATTGAGGATTGTACGCTTGCATGACTTCTTATTTGGTTGGACACAGGTTTACAGTTTGCAGCAAGGTAGAAGGGATGTCGAGACTGTCTTTACTATGGGTATCATGGAGGACGTGAATCTTGTACCTCAACCTGCTGGTGGTGAGTTCGGCTGTTCGTCTATTTCCTCGAGTTTTGTATATATGCAAACTACTGATTTCCCGAAAGTAATTTGGGCTGTTATTACCTTCACCAAATTGCAGACACAGGTATGGTAGATCTCACTATGAACGTCGTCGAGCGTGTTACTGGAGGCTTTTCTGCTGGTGGAGGTTTATCAGGAAATGGGTAACGTCAATTCTCATATTGTGGAATGCAAGCGAGGTCTTCTTTGAAACAATATGTTTCGCATATATACAATCTACCTCACCTTGCTTACGTGCTGTAGCCATCATAGTAGATTTCCTGTTCTGACACTTCTGAGAGTCAAATGTTTCGAGCACTGAAAACCTACTTTGTTCTAACCTAAATCTGGCTGCTTCTATGTCTTCATCGCAGCATCACGAATGGTGCCCTCTCAGGTCTTGTAGGAAGGTAAGATATTCAGCAATGACCTTGGTTCTGCCTACCAAACAATAATTGCTTGTCAGTCTCTGCCCGTCTTAAGCCTTATAAATCTACATTTGTAATCGATTCCTTTTGTAATGTATACGTGGGAAACGTGTGCAAGTATTGTGATGCTTCAGTGGCCACCAGCCCTTACCCTGATAATACGATATGAGATGGCGTGTCCTACGTGTAGGATTTCTCGTCTCAACAAGCTTGTGGTTCAGCCCGTGCCATTTTTTCATTTATCACAAGCCCAAGAATGGACGTTCAGAGAAATGTCTAGTAGGCGTGAGATGTCAAACTTTCTTTTTAAGTCAGAATGCTTTCCTGATTCTCAATTTAATGGGACCTTCTGTAGTTTTGCCTACTCCCACCGCAATGCTTTCGGGCGGAATCAGAAGCTGAACATCTCTTTGGAACGCGGTCAAGTCGACTCAATGTTTAGAGTGAATTACACTGATCCCTGGATTGAAGGTGATGATAAGCGAACATCTCGTTCGATTAATATTCAGGTAAACTCATAGACTTTGAGCCGATCATCAACTTTTGTTCCTTGTGATAGTTTTCTATTGCTATTTCTTGTTTGATATCGAAAAACATGCGCAGGGAAAACCTTCAGAGGATTCTAGTTATCGTGATCAGGTTATGTAACGACATCACAATAGGCAGTGATTATGTCTATTGTGTGTAAAAAATTGATCGCTCAAGTTGAGCAAATTATGATTGGAAGTGGCTTGATGACAGTGGAATGATGTCTGCAGAATTCACGGAGCCCAGGAACTATTGTTCATGGCATAAGGCGAGATGCACCATCCTCGGTTCCCGTGCATGGTGGTGTAACCATCGGAAGGCTCATGGCTGGTGTCGACTACAGCAGGCCCCTACGCCCGAAGTGGAGTGGTACTGCGGGTATCAATTTTCAGGTGCCTTACTCTCACCACTGCATTTCTACTTTACACCTTGCGTTGTCTTGCAACCCACTAGAGGAACGTTCGTGTGGTGGAGACACAGAACGTGACTTCTGCAAAAAGAACAGACCAGCGTTAACAAATGCCCCGCGTAGGTCTCCATGGCAGGCCACTAGCACTGCAAATACACGATTGTTGCCCTTGTATTTGATTTGTGTGGATCGATTGTTCTACTTTACTCTAAGAGGATGTCTAGTGCTACAAATTGGAATTATCCTGGAATTTACGCCAGTTGCGGTTTGTATTCATACATTTATCGCGCTTGCACAGCGTGCTGGAGCCCGCGATGATCACGGGCAGCCTAAGGTGGTTGATTTTTATGGTGGCCCTCTGACATTCAGGTATGCACATGTAAGCTGAATTTATATGGAAAGCAAGGGTGAAAGGTTCTTATTAATCGTCCTGGATACTCAGCTAACCCACATGTGCTCATGGTTTGGGATGCAGTGGGCGCGCGTATGATGATATGCTTGTAGCGAAGCTGGAAATAGTGTACACAGACTCTGGTGACAACGGTTCATCTCAAGTGAGCTACGATTCTGAATCTGCTCAAATTACGTTGGTTTTGAAGGTTCGGAGTTGACATATTATAGTGTGTAATACTTTGCAGTTTAATTGCAGCTTGTTTTCAACACAGAGCAAGGGCTTCCTATCGCGGCTGATTGGCTCTTTTTCAATCGGATAAATGTCCGTGCAAGGCAGGGTCTTCGAATAGGCCCCATGCGATGTATAGCCAGGTAATTCGTGTCCAAAAGAGCAGGAAACGGTTGAGGAGTTTTTTACATTTCTTGACAGTAGTGTGCGCTGCCTCAACGAGCTTACTCGTGGTTTTATGTCTTCAATTGTACAGCTTTTCAGGTGGAAGTGTCATCGGAGATCTAGCTCCTCACGAGGCGTTTCCTATAGGGGGTACCAACAGTGTTCGTGGTTATGACGAAGGAGCCGTTGGCTCTGGTCGTTCGTGCATTGTTGCCAGTGGTGAAATATCATTGCCGTTGGTGAGCTACAACCTCCTCTATGAATGAATTTGGACATCATTTTTCTTTCAGTTGCAGTCGAAAGTAGGTATTAATGCCCGGATAACTCTTTCTGCTGCCATTGAAGGTCGGGCCGGTAGAGGGAGCAGTGTTTGCTGATTACGGCGGAGATCTCAGATCAGGGAAGACTGTGCCAGGTAAGCTTGGCCTTATGCTGTCATGTTTTGGAAAGCTATTGTGGAAATGGTTGCCGGAGCTGTCAATTTCACAAATTTCTGGAGATGGACGACAGGAAAATAGATATACGTTCCATGTGAATGAATCGTGTTCGGTACTTCTTTAAGTGTTCTTCAGTCAAACTTCCCTTCTTTGACTGTTCACCATTGTGGATTAAGTTGCTACCTTTCGAGAGCTCCCACTGCTATGAAAGCATCTAAATCAAGTTTTGGAAGTCAATACTACTCCAAAAGGTCCCCTATCAACGAAGTGAAAGCACGTGTGAATCTTGAGAATCAGTCTTGCTCTTTATCAGCTCAATAGCCGTTCTTATACCCTGTGACATTAAGTTACAGTGTGCAACTGTTCTCCCCACTACGATGTCTTGTCTTCTTTGGGTGGTTTGGTCCAGATTCTGCGAATCATCATTAATACGACCTCATGCACGGGCGGGTCTGGTTTTCCCGCACTAAGACCTTATGGCGGATCTCTCGCTACAGCGCCTTAGCCTTAATATCATGTAGCCATCAGTTTGTGGAATGTTGTACGGCAGGTGGGATGTGTGTTGAATTAACGATGCCAACTATAAGGGCGATTAATGTTGGTGGGCATGTCTGGTGACAGGAGATCCTGCTGGACAGCGTTTCAAGCCAGGCAGTGGCTACGGATATGGAGCTGGTCTGCGCGTTGATTCACCACTTGGACCCCTGCGGTTAGAATATGCATTCAATGATCAGCATGCTCGCCGGTTTCATTTTGGCATAGGCTACCGCAATTAGTTTCAAGAGTTGAAGGCAAGGACGATATATCTTTGAAGTATTAGTGCATTCAGTCTGTAACAAGCGAAAATCACAAAATTGTTTTGGCAATCTTACACTTCATGAAGTAGTTGTCGTCCGAGCTTGTCATCAGGATTAGGTCATATTGAACATGGTTCACACCCCCTCTACCCCCTATGGTAGTGTTTGTGATGTGGCTGACCCTCTTATGTAAAGGGTCGGTCACATGCTTGTTTTAGATAGAAAATGAACGGTGAAATTGTTTGCGATCTCCACAGGATGGAATGAAGCCAATGAGTAAAGAAAACATTTGCTGCACGTATCTGGTACTGGCCTAGTGAATTTTTTCTTAGCTTGCCCGACAAGTGCTTGCTACGTCTCGGTGGTCTGCCCTTGTTATTAACTCGAGTTCGGCGTTATCATTCCTCTTTTAAGTTCTTCTACATCAGGAGGCGTGAAGTACATGACTTAGCTAATTAACTTGGATGCGAGACGATGTGCAAAACCTTGGTAAAGAGTAGATTGTCCAATGGGCACATGTGGGTTTGGCACCAGATTTTGCACCGTGAGTTGTGATCAATCTAGGGACTGCTGCGATTTTTCCAATCTGGCGAAACCGAGGACGCAAATGAACGAAATTTGCGTCAAGCCTACAAGAAAAGCTGGAAACTATGTCGACAACGTTTCATCAATTCGTCCCACACAAATGAAGCTGGAGGAAAATATGGTCAACGAAAACCACCCGTCCACAATGTGGGGCAATAACTTCACTACCTCCTTCCAATGATGGAAAGAGGTGCAGAGATAGAAATTTATCAAACTTAGAACAAATGCGGTGAGCTTAGATTAACCTGCTCATTAAGAGAGGCTACGCCACCGTAAAGTTGTCCATCCGTCCAAGAGATTCGCATCGCCATGTGTATTGGGCACACACTTCAGTCCGCCATAACTGGTTCAACAACAAGCTCGGCTGCATGTCGTCACATAACCTGAGCGGATCTGGGTTTAGAACGATGAAGTGAAGAGAAGGTGCCTATCGGCCTTACAACCTTCCAAACGGTCGAGCAAGTGCGAATTCGCATATTAGACTTCTTTGTCGGTCGGTGGGCTAGTAGAGTATCCGAATCATGACTTCTCCTCAGTCACCATCCGATAGGTTGGTACTGAAACGGGTGCAGTCAGATGCACCCGCGTCACCTTTAGTTGGTCCTCTTCGAAATTGTCCGAATGATAGAGGAGTATGCGCAGATGGAGAATCCTCCAGTGGGCAGTGCAGTCCGGCGGAGGTTTGTTGGTGCACCGCCATATGAAATATTTGGAATGTGACACCTGTGTTTGGATTTTGTTCTATGTTGCCTCAACGTTGGATTTGATGCCTCGCAGGTCAGAGAATCGCCTGGAAATCTTGCTAGGTTTGTTGAGAACAAGAAGACAGAATCCTGCTTCGAGAGTTTTGTTATTGTGCACAATGTCGCAAAGCGGCACAATCTGGGAACCATAGCTCGTAGTGCCACAGCTTTCGGGGTAAGCGAACTTATATTGGTTGGAAGGAAAGACTTCAACGCTTTTGGTAGTCACGGAGCATCTCTGCACGTACAATTTCGACATTTCCACACGCTTCCAGAGGCCGCGCTTTATTTGAAGGTTTGAGCACTGAGTCAATGCCCAGGCCCTGACAGACTTGTTTCAGCAGTGTCTGCTGTCATTGAGCTGTTACAAACCTCCTGTTGCAATTGTGAAGGCCTTAGCCTTAAGGTTTAATCCTTGAAGGTCTTAGCCTTCCGTGATGAGGGATGAACGAAATTGGATCAACCCAGTCTTGCAGTAGAAATCGTAGAGCGGGGACTGATTTTTTTAGGCATGAAACCCTTGGAATCAAGCAGGCTAAAGATGTAGACATCTGCGGGGTCGAGATCGTCGAAGGAGCACAAGCAGTAAATAATCATCCATTCAGACGCAGCACAGCTTTCATGCTCGGAAACGAGGTGTGATATTCAAAAACCTCAATACCTTCTGATTATAATGTTAAGCATTTCAGATCATATAACCGTGATATCGCTTCTGCACTGATTTCTCCTCGCGTACCCTAGAGTATTTTATCAGGAATAGTTCTGCAACGTGAATGTTCTCGAGCTGGCAGGGAACAGGGCTATCGAAGAAAGAAATGGAGGTTTGCGACTTCTTTGTGTACATTCCCCAGTGCGGGGCGGGAACAGCTTCTTTGAACGTAACTGTGGCCGGATCAATCGTGCTTCACCACTTTTCAGGTAGCGTAGCTTGAAGAGTTTTTGGCGGTTTTCGCGGGGTTTTGAAATTCCGTCTTTCAAAGAGAAGATTCATCTCACGAATTGATTCCCTCATCTCGTCTCGATTCGATGGCTGGCTTCAGTGTGGGCGGGATTCGCAGAAAGGAAGAGAGAAGGTCACAAGTTTGTGGTCTCCGAAAGGCCGGTTCGCCGAACACCTCGAAACGTAGTCGGTGACAATCCGGATGCAGTGAAGGAGCGACGGCGACAGAGGGCAGATGATGGGCAAGATGTCTGGCAGCTCTGGGATGCGGTGGATGAGGATGAGGGTAATGAAGCCCACGCCGACAACGATCAAAGCACATTGAACAATCTTTACAAGTGATCTGCCAGGTCGCGGCGTGGTTTGCTGGTGTTGAATCCATCGCCAGCTTCATCTTCATGAGCAGGGATCATGGAATCTGGAGTTTCGAAGGCGGAAATCACACGGAATTGAAACAGCTGTGAAATCTCAGTTCGTAGCAAAGCTCTGGGGCTATCTTTCCGGCAATTTCAAAAAGTAGGAAATCTAGCTTTCATGTATACAGCGCGCCCATAAGAGCAGGAAGTCCACCATTTCGATGAGCTTATTAACAACTTTCATGTCAATTTTAGACGCTCACTCGAAGTGCAGCCGACCCGCAAATCAAATCGCGACGGATTTGCTCGTGGACGTATTGTCTTTTGCAAGTTTGGGCAACTCCGGCCACTTCCTTTGTCCATTTGGTCGAACGTGGAAATGTTTACACAGGCGATTTCATTATCCATTTGAATAGATGTTGATGACACTTTCTTTGGGTGCTCATATTCGTCGATTGCAGAGTAAGAATTGTGATAGAAGTAGAAAGCAGTGGTCACGAATTTGCATGAACATCTGCGTACTTCTGTAGGATCTTTCAGATTTCACAACAAATAGAATAAGTCACGGTCATTTCTTGTTTAACATACAAACTCATTTTATTTACCGGTAAGTTCATGGGGATACATTCTCAGGCATAAAAAAGAAAAGAAACTGATCTATGCATGAAGTAGGTTATGTCACTCATTTTTCTATTTTTCTTACCCGTGTCAACTCACACAAGGAAACAATGATAATATATTCTTGAGTATGCTTATTTGCGAATGGCATGTTGCGTCATCTGGAGTATTTCTAGCGCGAATCACTTCTGTTATCTTACAAAAAATTGCTCCTTGACCTCTTTGTGAACCGAGTTGTACCGTTGATGAAGTAAAAAGTTCTTCACGTAACTAAAAGTAGAAAAAGAGAAACAAGAGATATCTGAAAATTCATCAAAGAGTGATGCCAACAATTTTTCAACAATGTAATATTGTCAATCACAGGACTGGAAATTTTTTTGTTTAGAAAGTTTTACAAGTACTAAATGTGTATAATCTTAACTTTATTTATTCAAATTAGATTAGTAAAACTTTTGGAAACTAGGTCAAAAACAATATAATTGCAGAAATATGTAAAGACAACTAAAAGTCACACATGTGTACACCATTAACGTTCAATATTATGTACAATCTTAAACATTCTTCATTAATTTCTCCTATCACTTTGTTAGAGAGATAGCATCAGCATATTTTGAAAAACATTCCTGCATTTGCAAATTGATCTTGAGATTCACAATAATGACCAATAGAACATGGTGTCTGTGATATGGTGATAAAAACAAACTGCTTATTTTGATTCATTAAAACTTAGCCTATAAGGTTTCATGAGAGAGAGTTGATGATAATAAACCTTCATTTTTTCATGTAGATAGGTTACTTAAAAATAGTAAATAAGTAATGAAGATAATTCTTTTGAGTATTTTAAACTAAGTCATTTTTCAAATTAAACCGAGAATTGACAACAATACAGATTGAGAATTCACACAAAACAACGTATGTATTGCACCTCCAAGTAGGGATTACCTCCAAAAAAAACTCACATTTTTTATGAAGTTCTGAAGTTTCAAAGGCTAAAAGTCACTTGCTTCCAACTACTTATAGTGACAGCTGATCAAAAAAACTAACTCATGTTGAACATGAATTGGAGTTATCCAAAACTCAGAGTTAAACCTAACAATCTTTACCTTAATTCATGTTGAAAAAACAATGTACTACATAACCTATATAATTACCTAGCGAGAAATTTAAGAATGAAATCTAACAAGAGAGCACTCTTTAAACTAGAATTAATTAGAAAATAAGATAGAATAATAATATAGAGAGGTAAGTGAAATGCTAATTAACTCTATATGTGATACTAGTGCAAAATCTGCATAGTAGAACAATGTCGTCTGAAACTCTCCAACGGAATCATTTTTGTCAAAAATTGATTGGATTGAATTTAACATTAATCTTGACTAGCTCAATTTTTATATCAGATTTTGCATATATGATAAGCATGTAGATTGTTGCATTGCACATAATTTTTATAATCGTTGTCAAATTTGGCAAAATTGCCAGTATGATTCATCTTTTTGCATCACTTACATAACAAGTCAAATGAGTGATGATATTTGTTTCTCAAAATTACTTCATCAGGTTTTTTGTATACTTTAACTTCCATGTTGTTGAAAATTTGTCACTACGTGGACATACTTTTTATGATCTTGATCAAGTTTGGAAAAAATTGACAAATTGATTCATCTTTTTGCAAGCATAACATTAACAAATGTCACAATCTCTTGCTACTTCTTGAATTATTTTATTATTTGCATATCTTCTTGCAAATGTGGAATCAATAATCATGAAATATTATCTTCAATCTTTATGTTTGTACTTGTGATGATACATAATTTTTGTTAAAACAACATTTTGCCAACTTGATTAACTGATGAATTTAAAACATTATTTAATAATGTGTGATTTCATAAGCATCTAAAAGCCGTTGAACAATTGTAATTCCTTTAGTTATTGTGAATGAATTATTTATCATCATCTTGTTGAATATTTGATCTTTCAAAACTTGTTTTAACACATTCTAGCTATTTGCTTTACTCATATTCATGATGACTACTTGAAGATCATAAAATATTTAAATGTATTCATGAATAAACTTCAATCTACTTCAGATTCTACCGTACTATTTATTGAAGTTAAAAAAATTTAATATCTTCATGTGCTATTGAAATTGATCATCAGTTCATGAAATTGAAATGAATAATTTTTTATTGCAATTTTTTCCACGTAGTGTATCATATAGCTTTATTCATGAGATAAGATTTCATGAACATTCATATTACAATATGAAAATGAAATGAATATGGATTATACTCCTCCTCACAATTTCCATTGCTTTAATTTACTTGTATGCTACAGCTTACATGATTATTTTTTTCGAATTTAAAGATTGTTTTGATATTCAATTTTTTGATGATTATATCTTCCTTTCCAAACATTGTTGATAATAATTGTTTTCAATGAAACTTGAATTTCCAATATTAAATTTTCAAGCTCCATCTCTTTAGTTTTTTCATTGTCTACTTTCATAGCTTGTTGTTTTGTAAGTACTTCAACTATTTCAATTTATTTGTGATTGCATTTAACACCTAATCTACATCAAATGATGTCTTCATGCTTACTATCATTCATTTTAGTACAAAGTAAGCATGATGATTATTGAAAGTAATCACAAAAGCTAAAAGTAATCATATAAAGTAATCATGTAACGAGTGTAGAATTTTCTTTATCATAATTTTACACACAATATCTCTTCACATTTTCTTTTATCAAAAAATTGTCTTAATATTTACATACAATTGACTCAAACTAGGCCAATAGTTCAAAATTCAAATCAATTCAAACATTATGAAATGTAAATGATACAATTTCAGGTCTCTTTGTAATTAACGATCAAAAATATCAATGGCATGTTTGGCTCCATTACTCTATCGGAAGTATCAATGACACCCTCAATTATATACTTCAAGTCATAAATTTTGCATTCCATGACAAATGTACATCCAAATTTATGTTTCTCCATAAAATGAAGATGAACATCAAACAGATTTGATATTGATTGTTAAAGCATTAGAATTCTATCATACATCACCAAACCTGCAAAACCACAAGTTTCTATTTTCTCTATCTCTACATGCAAATCAATTATCTTTGCTAGCTTTTATGAACTTTGAAGAACTAAGTTTTATCATCACTTTATTGCTATTTCATAAGGAGAATTCATACTTAAGCAATGAACAAGATAGTTTTGATATCATTATAACATTAGAGTATAAAAAATTTGAAATACAAACTCTAAAGATGAGAAATACCTGAAATGAGTCTACTCTTTTCTACATAGACTTTTTGACAAGTACAAGAAAAAATATTTTCAACTATCACTTCCATTCAACTCCAAGTGAATTGATAACATGGCCTATATATCTAACAAAAACATGAACTGTTATCGTGTTGTATTATCTACAACACTTGCTCCATAGCTACCAAGCACATGGATTGTTCACATGTCAAACTATAGATTATTTACTAAAGTGCAACTCTATCTCCATGTTTAATTATCTCTACTTTAGTTTTAACAAATTAAAATTGATTGCAAAAACCATTTTTGCAGAGATCAAAACACAAATCTAACTTATATTACTCATTATCATAGCAAAAGTTGAATCCATTTGAGTTTTGTTTACTACTTTGTTTCATATTTTTTCAACATAAATATGTCTTACGCACTAGTCCCATTCTTTTTATATGTTCATGAATATGTATAATCTAGATTTGATCAAAGATGAAATTAGCCAATTAGCCAACTGCAAAAGAGTTTTAGTGGTATAAAATAGCTAAAACTAGATTGGTGAAATTTAAAATCAAAGTAGATTGTTAACACAAGAAATTTTTTTAATACCTTTTTATCACTTTATATCATCAAGATATCTAACATTTTTAGAACCAAATTATGTATGAATGACATCAGTATTGATACTATGTTAATTAAATAAGAATCATTGAAATAATCTTGAAAAAAATTGCAAAAATATCAAAATCAAAACTCTACAAAGTATGAAAAAATAAATGTGCATAACCAATTCATTTGATCTATATGTTAAATACAATTTTGAATTTTTTGTAACAATAGCCTTAGAATATTTGTGATTAAACAAGTTAATTAGAATTTATATTTGTTTTAAACTGTACATTATTCCATCTTGTCTAATTCTTATGTATTAATAACTGGTCTTATACACAAACTAATGATTACTTTGAATTTTTGAAGTTGATCCATGTATGAGATCAATTTTATTCAATTTTATTTCTTTATTTACATATTATGAAGCCAAAAAATATAAGTACTATTCAAAGATAATTTGCACATTTTTTATATTAAAGAATTCCATTTTCCTCTATGTAATAAATAATAAATATAAATATATAACCTATAGTTATAATGAGATATTTAAATCTATATTCTTTTCTAAATTTTTTTAAAATTGCAGTAAAATATATATTCTTGTTAAAAGATAAAAATTTAAACTATAATTTAAACTTAATTTTAATGAAATTATTTTTTTAAAGATGATGTCATATCAAGAAAAATTAGATAATTTTGATATGCATTTAAAAACCATTACTTAGTTAAATTAAATGAATTTAAATAAATTTGAAAACTAAATTTCAAATTTTGAGATGCAGAAATATTTGCAGAAATTTGCAACTTTTGTAAGTTTATTTAAATCACTTTTTATGAATTTCTCAAATAATCCAGTTCCAAACTTTCAAATCAAATTGAGAGAATATCAAATAAAAATATAAAGACAATTTTTAGCCAGAAAATAATTCTAATAAATTATTGTGCTAACTTTTTTTAATAAATTTTGATGAAAATGTTTTTTTTGCATTTTTATATTAACAGAAAATTAAAACATATTCATAGTTGACTTATCTGTACAACACATATTTTGCGAAGTTTGATATGTGAAATTATTTTTTTAATATATATTCAATAAATAATATTTTTCATTTATTTCATTATGTAATTTTTACACTCTATGTAATAGATTAGCAACTACTATATATAGTTCAAGATGTTATTACATCTTGATGAATACAAAAAAAAACTGTTTGGCAAGTTTTGTGTGTGAGTTATGAATTGTAATTTTGATCAAATCAATTATTTCATTACATGTGATGCTAGCAAATTTCAAATAACATTATCAATCTTTAAAGTTTTTAGGAGACAAGATTTAACAAATTTAGGAACTAAATAAACATGTAGGATTGTTTGGACAAAGATTTGGTTAAATGTAAAAATGGGCTGGATACTATCAAACAATCGATTGAAACATTAAAACCTTTTTTCAACATTATCCATGGATCCAATATGGACGAAAAATGAATTTAGATAAATTGATACATAGATAAAGTAAATTGATAAAGATAATTTCATGATTTCAAAAAAAAAAACAATTTTTATCCTATCTAGTATGGTCATATTGTTCAAGATGACCACGCCATATCTAGTAAACAAGATTTATTAAGTTCAGGTGTAATATCCTACACATCTACGTTGAAAGTTTGAACACTTTTATACTTACAAGATAAATTTAGTGAATAAATTAAAACTAATGTAGTGAAAAACATATAATATTGTGAATAAAATAGTGTTTAGTTCACAAATTTTGAGATATACTAATCAAATTTAAATCTTCATATAAACTACAAAGTATATTATTTGATGACTAGAGTTTCGAATACCTCTTTTGAAACGAGGCCTAGCAATAATCGCTGGATGCTACATGGGCTATCTCCTGATTAATAACACGCACTAAGTAAAGCTGGACTAGATCGTACTATATCATAGTACAACAGCTTCCAGCTCACTTCCACTCACGTGCTAACCGCTTGGCCTCTTTTGAGCCCTCGTTCATCGGAACATAACGCATAGCTCTGGGTCCAATACGCATGTAGGTACGAAAATTTTTGGCCTCCAAAACTTCGTCTAGGATTTTTTTCTGCAAGTTCAGTACCTTCGTAAACATAATTCTTTCGAAGAAATCCCAATGTAGTAGATGTTAAATTATAGCTTTCATATTTAGTATGACTTCTTTAAATGCTTTTGTAAGACATTGTCGAATTTCTTTGGCGTTCCTCCTTACTCTTAGAAAATGCCAGTATGTAAGTACAAGGGGGCGGGCAGGGAGCCCCGTATAAAAAACAAAGATGGTGTACCTTAAACCGCTCCCACCGACAATTCCTCAAGTACTGTTTATAGATCTGCTCCTCTTTCCTGTAGTCCTGGATGGAAAAGGCACAGTTTGAATGTTCAATGTTGGATTTATCGTCACAAAGGTTTAGCATCGGCTCATACCTACCTTGGGCAACTAAGGACTTTGCAGGCATTGTTATCTCACATGTGCCGCGAGCGCCTGTATTACATCCCTGTCACAGTGCCGGTGAAAATCCCAAACATTGAGAACCAGCACTTCAACTGGACTTATCGTCACAATGCTTACAGCTCGCCGTGACTTCTTCAACAACCCTCTCTGCAATCACGAGACCCAAAAAAAATCACGAAATTACTTCCAGAGATTGAGCACAGTCAAATTGTAGTCAAAGCAGATTCAGACTACAAAGGAGGACTTCGCTTTGAACTTTGAAAAACTTTTGTTCATAAGATATTCGGAGCAGTTCTGAACTGGAAATAAACAGGTGAGCCATAGACTACACATCCCTTCAACAACATTAACATTTGCCTTTCACCGACAACCTACGTAATTTCATAGAGTATGCTGTATCTCTGTACCTCTCCAAAGTAATCGCCTGCGGTTAGAGCTCCGATATCCAGTATCATGGTGCTCTGTATGTTGAAAATGATGAGTTAGTCAGCAGTGTACAGACTGCACATGCCTGTATGCAACTTGTCGAAAAGATACAGAAAACAGGCGGGAGACGTTATAGTAATGCGACTCGGTGGACAAGTTTTAAGCCAGGGGAAGAGGTCATGAGGTTTTCAACATTCTCCTCATCCAGATCACGGAATCCTCCATTGGACTTAGTGTGCTAGAGACGGGGATGATGGTTAACTAGCTGCAGAGATGATAGATGATATAGTGTGTCCTTTATCTGCAGTCCGGCATCGCCACTGAATTGCTGGATGCATGATAAGTCCATCAGTGTGGTCGCTATGTGTTTGGGTAGTGAGAGTTTGAGACAAGACGATATTCGATTAACGCGACCGTCGATTATGCCAAAATCGTAGTCTATTTCTTGCTCTGTCACGCCAACATGTTTGTGTTTTGCGCCGTGACTAGTTCATAACGATGCCTATGATCTCATACCTCATCTTTACTCGTGAACGATGGATCGGAAGCTCGGTCGAGCTTTTTAATCCCTTCGCCTGCACCTGGGGTGAAGCTCGGATTTGAGTTCTCGTTTTCGTAGATGTTGAATCCTAGTAGCTTCTTTTCTCGACCAAGTACACCACGGGCCCAGCTCTGAAACTTATTACGGTAATATTTGACATCCTCTGAAAACGCACTTTTCATCACGTTTTGACTAATACTCATGTGCCAGAGAGCGTGCTCTTTAACAGAGAAATCTACCTCCCGGTTGAGCTTGTCCTTCTCCTCTACCTCGCTGAGGAATTTGGACAATGTGTATTTCGGTTTTATTGTTCGCCTCCTCTTTCCCTGGTAAGTCCGTTCCTGCATCTCCTTTTTCTTAAACTTCGCAATATGGATGCCCACCTCGTTGGAAGTACCGGCCGATTTCTGCTCTGGCAGTTTCTCCATTGCCAAGTGTGGACTAACCCTCTGTTCTGAAACCAAGGCTCTCACCCGTGGGGACGAGGAAACGAACGTCACAGGCTCAGGTTGGCTCCTCTTTGGTACAGGTGTTCTCGGTGAAAAGCCATCGCTTACGGCCTTTGGTGAACCTCCCCAAGGAGAGAGCGTGGCGGTGTTACTGCTTTCTTTCTCAAAGGCTGGTTGATTATTATGTCGAGCCGGAATCGGGTTGGAGACAGGTCGCTGAGTTGACGTAACCCTGGAAGCCCTAGAGTGCATACTAGCTAAGCGGCTACGATTTTTCACTTGTGCAGATTGCAAATTTGTAACTTTTGCGTGTCCAACAGCAAGTTCACGTAGCAGGTCAGGGTTTTTCAGTATTGCATCACCAAGTCCAGCAGGGCTAACGAAGGACGATGCACTAAAATGAGACGGCATTCGGGCTGAGAAGCTTGCGACAAGGGAAGGTCTGCCCCAGTCTTTTGCTCTGTTCTGGCTTTCCACCTTACATCTATGATGCCTCGTTGGCCTGCTTCCATGATGGCAAAATGGTCTTAGTTTTGATATATGTTTGATTTTCTAGGGATATTGAATTCGTTTGATTTTTAAGAAACACACCAAAACAACACGCAATTTCAAGTATCCATATGCAAATGGAGATATGAACTTTTCAGCTCTTATGAACAGAAAAATCTTACGATTGTTGATATACGAAAGTCGAAACCCGTGGAAGTCGTAGAAGAGGTCTCCTCGCACTGGTAATCTCCATAATAATCTGCGAAAAGAAGCTTATGAACAAGACAGGCAGCATTTGGCAGATGTGATGTCTAAGGGTGAGATCTGGAAGTAAGGTCATTGACGTATCACTGCACACGAAACGATCAAGCTGAATTGAAGCAGCGGGTATCTTTTTCGCTTGCACTTGCTAAAAACCTAAATCACCGCAAAGGAAAAGCAGCAGCAGTTAACATGAATTTGATCCTGGTAATCCTTAATGATGGACATTATTCTTGCCAAAAGCTTACCGCCACACGATCCTCAACAGATTGCTAGTTTGTTCAGAAATAATAAGAATCTAACACAACTGGGATGATCAAATAGAATATAAAGATCGAATGTCCAACACAGATATCTCGTGGGGTTTTATATGGAAATAAAAGCTTCAGCGATGTATTACATTTGAGCTCAATGTTCTGTATGCCCCTTACCTCTAATCTAGTTGCCCTTCTTAGAAGGTTCAGGATATAAAAAGAGCCCAAGTCTTATTTGTCTACGACGCTAACTATGTTCCTATATATATGCGTGTACTCAATTGCGACCTTAAGATAATTGCATTGATCATTGCGTCTAGGTTTACAAACCTCTACTGATATCCGAAGTTTATATTTCGCAGGTAATTCATAAAGCTCAGAAACTCGGTTGTATAAAGAGTATATATTTCGCAGATATATCATAAGGCTCAGAAACTCGGTGGTATAAATAGATTGTCACTCGTGGAGCTATCTCTCATGTTTCTGCTAATGGCTTCTGTGCATTTGGATGACTATTTCTACCTGATTGGCAGACTGAAATTACCGAGACCAATGTAGGTTTCACTTGGGAATGAAGAAGAAAACAACTTACACGACACTCGCCAGTTTTGATAAAAAACATCTCAAACGCTTCATCGCCTTGGAAAGTTACCGCTGGTCCTCATTAAAATAATGATTGCTGTCAGATATACCATACGTACTGTGTACTCATAAACACGAAAATATACCACACTCCAACCCTACCATCGCTCTGCGGTGACTCAAACGACACAAGATGAAGTAGTGCCGATATGTAGCTCATAGCATAGCGAAGCAAAGCAGCGTATGATACTGTACTTTGAATACATTGACATGCAAAGCTATAAACAATCCTACATCCTTAATAAACATACCTCTATTCTTTGTATATTTACGCAAACTAAGCACATTGGCCAAACGATACAAGCTCTGCTTCGAGACTTCTGAAAAAGCTGCTATACTCTGCAAAAAAGTAGATCAAAGAAACATATTACATCCACTCCTGATGTATGAGCTGGTTGTCACCATACATAAGAGTTGAGATGTAGAGCATACAGACCTTGAGAAATTTTACTCGCTCTCTGATTTCAGGAGTCTTCTGTATTTTCAGAATTCCTTCATAGTCCTTCTTCGTCAGCGTCAGCAACTCAGACTGACATACCATTAGCAAATTTTTAAAGCCAGTAAGATGATGTAAATCCGTGTAAACGTCTATTAAGTGCGTCATCAGGACAAACGTTGAGCTCTCACTATCTCGATCTTTATCTGGATTGATGAACAAAATGAAACACCGGGCCTTACGTAAAGAACAGGAGCAAAGCCTCTGGCTTACAACTGTGCCCTTGTGTGTACTTGACATGAATTCAGCAATAAAAACTCATAAACTTACAGACAGCGTTTAACAGCCACGTAGATGACTTTGAAGAACAATCTTTCTAATATTATCTATAGGAGGAAAAAATGAACTTCGAAGATGTTGTAATGCGTTGGTACCCTTTCAGTTGTGAAAGTTGTTTCTGTCCTGATAACGCAAGCAATCACGAGGGCCTGATAATGAGAGTGAGATACAAATCTTGTACAGGCCAGAAAGTTAGTTGCATCCTAAACAAAACAGAGTAGGAATGAAAACGCTCACGTGATATGAAACGCCATCCCTTTTCTGGTTACTCATGCAACAACATCACGCACTGCAGATGAGTTGAATTTTAATTCTACGACAGTGTTACATCTTTTAGTCGAGAATTACGAACTGGCCCTCCGAACATGCCTGATATCGAACGTGCTGAGACAGTTTATATGCATATTGACAGCTAGAATGACAGAAAGGCTTACATTCGACATTGTTCCTTGCTTAGAGCCAGTTCGCCAAAAGAGTCACCTGGAAGCATCAGTGTCACTTTATCTTCCTGGACCCCTTCCTCGTGCACAGATGCCTAATAAGGTGATGGTAGAAAGGTCAAGAAAATCTTATCATGAACTAAGTGGCCGAAACGGTCACATAAAGCCAAATTCTGTGAACAAACATATATCCAGAAACATAGTAGAATGCGTACGTTGGGTGACTGAGCAGAGTGCGAACTTTGTAAACTAGTAGACCTTTACAATACATACTGCAAACTAGAAACTCAACTTTCAACAACAGCTGCACGGATGGAAGATATGCAAGCATACATGAAACTACGCAGACTCGAATGTTCGTGCGCACACATCTTCAAAGTGACTTACTCTCACAAGTCCAGTGAACATTATGTAGAAAGTGCCGCCGACTGCACCCTGCTGATAAACTGCAACTCCACCAGATATTCCATAACTCGCCTACTTTTGAGTTAAAAATCTGACAACAAGCTACTATAGAGACCTTAAAAAACATACACACGATTATAAGACTGTATTTTTTTTTGCAGAAGGAGCACCACCACAGTTCAGATGGCAGTAGAAGATGCGGTGCGTCACAATAATCAATTCTTGTACTTGAAGCTACTGTAAGTCCTATGCTTTGATCATAAACACCATTGGGTAGAAATTACAATCCCAACTATTTAACACGATCATGAAATTATGGGGGGAACCTTAACATGACTGATCACGATTGCTGCATTAAAGCTTCGCTTCACGTTTGACTTATGTCAAATTTGATCTACTGAGTCAGCCTGAAACCATGGTTAAAAAACAGCAGGATCTTCCAACTTACGTCAAAGGAACTGAAAGACAATCTAGACGATCGACGTCCAGGATGTGGCAGTTAATGAGGGCTAACCATACGAAAGAGCAACTGACGTTGGAACTTCCGGGGTTCCGTCACTGTAGCGACTAAAAGACAGATTGCACAAACGAGATTGAGATTTTGACTGACCTCAGATGCCTCAATCCCAGACGGAAGCCATGTAGGTCTTTGAACACTTTGCGTCGAGTGTAATTGATGTTGAGAAGGAACAAAATTGCAGAGTTTATATTTTTTAGGACATGAAGGACAAAGGAGTATATCTGTACCGAAAAATAAGGTGACAAGGTTATCGACTTAACTGCTCTCCTGAAAATAATATTAACAAGTGAGTTTGAAAAACTCACCAGTTACATTGGAATCGCGTTTTTCGTAACCAAGGTACCTGCAAATCTGCCAAAATCAAACAAATTATCGCCACCTCTTCTAGACCACTATATAGATCATCTAGCCAGTGAAAACTTGGGACATCGTAATAAGGTGTCTGCCTGCCAGAAACATATGACCAGACTTGACTGCATATGTGAAACTCCCAGCTACTTCTCTTTGAAGTTTACCGATATATATAAGTGAACTGCAAGGGTTAGGCCATCAGTTTTGTCTCGAACAAAAAGCACGAGTCGTTTGATATACTCAAATATCCAACAGTCGAAAAGTCTATCTACGAGCCATTCCAGCCTTCAGTGCTTCTTTGGTAAAGCCAAAGAAGTCTCTTCGGACCAAAAAAGCTTAGCTTGATTGAGCACTTTCAACTTGTAAGAACTTATTTTGGAGAAGCAAGACAAAGCGGATGCCTACAGACCCAAGCATGCGACTTGAAAAGTCCAATTCAGTTACTATAATCTAAGCAACCTTCGATATTATCACGACTGCTCATCCCTTTCAAGAAGGACTCCGGTGGCGGATCACATCTTTACGACCCACATAGGAGCATCTATCTTTCTCCCCCTCCTGTTCTGTGCATGTATCACATAAGGGAATAAAAATGTTAAGTAGGATGGTCTTGCCTCAAGGCGTTTAGCTAAGGGTAAGTCTCCAATGAGCTTCACACTCTTCACGGATTCTTCCAATATGTAAAGATCACTAGGTGTACGGTCTTGCGGTCTGTCAACCCACACACAATTAGTGCGCATGAAAACATGAAAACATGAAACACACACACAAAACTGAAGTTAAACATCATGCATACAACAGAGGTAAGTTCATTCGACATAAACCCGTTTTCGATTCCAAGCGTTTCTGACTCAGCTACTCTTATGAACTGAAAGTGTCCATGTTGTGGAAGATGATATGATACGGCATGTGAAACTCTACTTCTTTACGTATGACGTCCCCGTGATGTTTGCATGAAAATTGTGCGACAATGTGACAAGTGACCAGCCTTTGGAGTTATTATTTCCTTCAAGCCGATTCCACGCACTCATACTGATGACTTTATATATGTACTTTAGAGTATGGGTGCTTCACGCTCTTACTTCTTCTTCACAACATTCCGTCGGCTTTCTGTGCGATAATGAGCCAAGCCACGCCATCCATCCAACGATGGTAGAGGTCGGACGATCTGCTCACATACCATGCAATGAGACTCCATAACACACAGAAACCTCCGTGATGGAGTACAAGCTGTACTGAAATCAAAAGCACCTGAGCTTGGCGAGCTGTTAGAGGCACTGTGTAATACGCTTACTTGAGTTGACAGAGTGAAAAAGAATCAGAAAAAAAGTCATGGTCACACTACATTCAACGAGCAGACTAACCATTGATAATCGTGATAACTCTTTGACCACGTCATATACGGGTGCAGTACCTTCAGGTCTAAACCCTCGGTCTTTTCAGAATAGGTTCTCGTGACTCATACTTAAAACCCTAAACCCCTTTTTTGAAATCTGACGACAGATTTACTTCCAATAATCAAATTGCAACCCACATTACATTTATTTGCTACCCAATTTCCTCACGATTATTGAGCTCAGCTGGAACTCAGAAAAAGTCCACGACGAGCACGGCAAAGTGGCTCATCTCTCTCGACAGGCCTGGCTTTTGACAAGACCCAATAGATATGTGAGATTAGAGGATGTATGTCGTAGTCTTCATCTCGGACTCAATGATTCGAGAACCGTGTCATCAATCCAGATAAAAGAAGGGATCATAAGACTAGACCAGCCACAACACATACCGCTGGCCGATTGGATGACTCAGGATATTTCTCTTTTGGCTCCTCCAAAATCGAATCCAGCGAGCTGACCTGAGGGTGCACTTCGACCTCTGCCATTTCTTTCGACACCAGAGTGGTTTACTTTTGTGCGGAGATTAGCTTTTGCTGCACAACGAGCCAGCTCCACCCTTCCAAGCAGGTCTTCAGAGCTCCATCTCAATTCCACTCGCCCACTCGTTCCAAACAGTACCGCGATGACTGAGAGAAATTGTGATTCTGATCCCTCCCAAAATGTTCTGTACGCTAGACCTGAGAGCGCTCGTTCATTGAATCTAAACGGAACCACAGACCAGTCGACAATTCCGTAACTCGCTGGAAGTCGAACCTCCAAAAATCAGGAACCAGAGGGACATGACATGACAACCGAGCCCATTCCATTCCATTCTCGCCCGGCCCGTCCCGGCCCGTCCGGATGATCCTTCTGTGGCTTCGCCGGCTGATTCCTATAGACGTGCGTCTCTCGCTCCCTTTCTCCCCCTTCCACTCGCAAACGACATCGTCGTCGTCGCATACTTCACATTCGACGACATTCGGCGGTTGTTGTCAACTGAACTTGCTCTTGCTCCTCATCATCGTCATCGTCATGAGCAAAAGGACCTCCCTCTCAACAGTCTCAAGTCGCTCAACGTCTCTTGAGTTGTCGCTTTTGGGCCAAGCAGCAAAGGACGGAAGTAAGTAACAAACGAACAAAATGTGTGTCACTCCGTCCCCTTGAGTAAGTAGGTGATTCAGTCAACAGCTATGACCAAAAGGAATGTTAATTGAGACCCTCCTTTCGCGACACATACTTCAGTCTCTTTTAATCGGAAACGGGGAACCAAGTAAATAGCCAAAAAGGTTGGATGACCCATGATGAAGATGAAATGACTCTGGTAACCAGGGGGCTAGGCTCCAATAGTGTCCGTATGGAGACAATCTCACTTGTTCGATCTCAACTCATGTCGTTATCCCTCATCTGAACACCTTATAGTTGTGCTCACCAGCCGAAAAAACTAGATGCGTTTCTACCTGGCCTGAACCTCGGTACCGTGAAGCAATAATAGGTATCAAATTAATCAATTGATTTTTCTACACGTTCTGTCATAGGCACATGTGTCATTGTCACAAACGATCTGGCCCTGAATACAAGACCAATCAGATATTATTTTTTGAAGTACTCAAAATAAAAGACAATCAACTTTGCATCCAGAATTAATAGGTTAATCTGGATGTTCATGAAAAAACATTCAGCTCCAGAAAATCGTTCATGTGTGTGTCTTAGAAAAACCCGTTGAATTTATGTTCAGTTCAGTGTGGTAGAGAATGTAGCATAGCTGGAATGATACTTCAACCACCGGCTTTGTGGATGAAATAAAGATTTCAACCTTGATAAACTCTAGTTTTTGAATTTGAAAGAAAGATGCTCCTTGCAGTTCATTGGGTCCAAAATCAACTCAAATCTGAAAGGAAATATTCAATGTCATCATTCAAATCTTCAAGTCTCATGTTTCGAAGAGTACGGCATTGTTTTAACAGTCCAAAGAGCTAATAAGCTTATTTTTCGCCCAATAATTTCACATGATGTGTATAATGATTAGATGTATACTGTAGTATGTGTGCATTCAGCTTTATGAGCAACATATCTCCCTTATTTTTTCTGAAATCTGGATGAACTCATACAAGAGTAGTATCCGTAATAGAATCATCTATAAGGCTGAAATTAAAAATAAAATAAAATTTAATATGGATAAGAAAATAAATGTTGGGTCATAAACACAAACAAAAGCTCTGGAACATATATTTTTGAATTATTTTACATCAATCACATTGAAATGAAACAGAGGGATTAATACATGTTTTAATATGTGAATAATTTTAGATAGATGATAAAAAATATTGATAACAATCAATTTTTATCGGCATGATATAATAGTAAGTTTGTTTTGAAAATTAAGGTCTCGAAGTAACTTAGGAATCCAGTCTTGTACGCGTGCACAAGACGCAAAAAATATCCAGATATTCTTCAGATTTCCAAAAAAAAATTGTCAATTTTAAACGTAATTAGAAAAACTCATACTCTTTTTTAATTTATACTCTGTTTTAGGACAAGATTCTACTTTAAATCATAACAGTATATTCAGAAATTCATATAACTCAAGTTAAGGATTTGGATAAATTTTATTTCATATAACCTTATCACTACATAAGCTTAAGAAAGTTTTTGGTGACACTTTTAGGTTTTCACTCTTTCAAATCTCAGGTTTTTTGTGAAAGTAGTCTTAGAGTTAAACTAAGTCCATCCAGTATTGTTGTGCTTGTGCCGTGTGTGGTTTCTAAGTTGTGAAATTTCTAAGATAAATAATTTTAAAACGTGAAGATGTTTGGACGAGTTGCGGAATTGATCTGCTGCTCATGTCATCATTATAGTTCTAAGATAAACATTTGGTTCATAAACCGATTGTGGTTGTCATATGGCACTTGGTAGAGTTTTTCTCTGTTGCTGGAAGCAAAATCAATTTTCTTGGGACTGAAATTCAACAATTCTGACGACCTAGGGTCAATTTGTAATGTCGAGTTAAGTATTTGCAAGTAATCCGCCGCTGAAAAATCCTCTAGCCCATGGAGCAAGAAAGTTTGCATGCACGAGATTGTTTAATTAATCAAGGATGTAGACATGCACAATTCTAAGATTAAAAAATTATGTCTCAAGAGAGTGAGGACTAAAATGCATGCTCTTTGAGCTCTAAGTTTGTTCATCCGCTCTTTTCTTTGTGAGATTCGGTCTTAATCTATCTTGCAATTGATACCTTTTACTCTTTTATTGATTCTAGAATTTAGGTAGTGAACAGGTTTGAGATCATGAATGATGCAAGAAACTTCACTTTCAATTATCTTCTGGAATAAGTAGGTATTGCAAACTAGAAAAAGATATTGACGCACATTTAAAGACAAGAAATTCTTTTAAGAAGTAAGCAATCTGGTCCATCACATTTTCAAGTTCTTCAAATTTGGTCAGTGTGGATTTTAGCTCTAGTCATTTGTCTTCATCTACTTCCTCCCCTTACTCATCACGATTATTGTTGGCGCCGGCCTTAGTAGACACTTCTTGCAGTTTTGCATGTACAGTAGAACCTGGGACCGGACCTTTTTGATAAGTTTATAGAGGTGATAAGTTTCTAGAGTTTATTAAAATTGATTCATTTAATTTTGCTTGATTGGTCTCAGAACCATCCGGAAGGTTGCAGAAAGGTATGGAAGGTTAGGAAGGTTACGGCAAGGAATGCAGGACCTCGAAAAGACATAGAAGTTGTTTGATACCCAAGTTCCGTGTGTATTGGCTGTGGTATTGTAATGGGGTGTGTAGGGCACTGTATCCTGGCGTACTGTATACAGTTGGACTGTGTAGATGAAAACTTCTCAAAATGTAAACAACTTAACCCAGGAAAATCCCTAACCCACGTCAGATACTTAAGCAGCCAACAAACAAATGTGAACAAAAGCTTAGGCAGACAACCATTACAAGTTTCTTTAGTCAATCATAGTCGTACAAATGTAGCTCGGAAAGCACATCAACCTGAATATAAGTTTATAAAAAATTCCGGGCAGCCAAAACTTGATAAGTTATAAGATTATAAATTTTTGGCCTGGTCCCATGCCGGGATCGCACAATTTGATAAATTTTTGGAGGTTATAAATTTATGGAGTATAAATTTATAGAGGTTCTACTGTAGTTGCTTGAGCACCATTAATATTGACCGTATGTCTAGAATTGTCAATCATGAAATGTGATTGTAGGGTTAATGGTGGATGAAGTAGAAAGACAAAGTGGCATAGATGTAGTCTACAAAGACAATGTGCTTTGAATTAATAACGTATATAAAACAAAATAGATTGTGCAAGAATTTTGTAAGTCAAATGCTGGACACAAAGAAAGTGCATTATTATTTAAGATTGTTTTTAAAGTAAAAAAATTTGCCAATAACTTGACAAAAGTGCTCAATTCAAAATTCTAGAAATGGTTTCTCTCTACAAATTTATCTTTTTTCTCTAGCTGGATGCTGAAAGATTTTGTATCATCGATTATTGCAAATGAAGATGATTTGACAATGATTAGTCGTCCATTAACACTTGATTGTTTGTTTGCGTGAAAAAAATAGTTGTATATAAGAATGAAGTTTACTGAATGATAAGTATAAATCTTAAAATAAATTGCAAACAATTGCGCAATAAATATGAAAAAGGATGTAATTTCTTGGCCTTAAACAAAAATGCAAGTTGTGATCAAAGAATTGCATACGAGATTTATGGTAGCATAAATCCGACATCATTAAAAATCTTTGACACTGCGAATAGCAATGTATACAAAATTTGAGATCTAAAGTTCTATTGGCAATTGCTTCAGCTTTTGAAAGGATTTGCAAACATGTGGATGAGATAAATAAATGTTATGAATTTCAGCAAGACATAAACATATACAATCATATCTTGAAATGGCTTGACTATTGTGCAGGTTGTCTAAGTCTATTCACTAATGTCATAAGCAACAAGAAGAAAAATCTGCATAATTTGATGGGATGATTGCGCCTAAGTCTCATGTAGCTTGAGTAGAATTGCAGCAAATTATCAAGAACAAAAGTAGCTCATACATTCATCTACGCTCTAGCTATGGCATTAAAGCTTTAGAATAAAATGCCCTAGAAGTGATAAAAGGCTTAGTGGCTATTGTGAATGGATGAATTTGTTTGCAATTGCAAAAACTGAAACATACAAAAAGTGAGAAAGTTTAGAGAAAAAATTTAGAAAGATGTAACTGTTGTGAGATATGTTGGAAATAAATTACTGAATTTCAATCTTGTGAGAAAAGAAAAGAAAGAATTTGTCATGAATATTTGCAAAGAGCAGCTTTGAACAAGAAAAAGAACAAGAAATACTTGGTTATTATTAGATTTTCTATCTCTTTGTGGATGAAGAAGTTTTTGAAATAAAAAAACAAAACGATAAGAAGTAAGAAGAGAATAATGAGAAGAAAAAAAGTAAGAATGTAGAAAAAAACAAGAAAAAAATGTACAAAAAAATGATGATGTCAATCTTACATACTCTTCATCAAATACGCTATCAAAAGTATTCATTAAATACATTGCGGTAGTGACAACCTTTGCTCACTTTTTGTATGATAAATCAAATGAGATCAATCGTATGAGATCAACTATGCATCTTTTTCAACATTCTTTGGTGAAGTTTTTCAAAACTAAAATCATATTGTAGAGTATAAATTATTTTGAGATGAAGAGTAATGAACTATTCTTTGCAATAATTGTTTTATTTTTCATATGTAGAATTTGGCCATAATTCATATTTATTCATTTCACCATGTTTTTAGTTTGAATATCAACATGAAAATTTTAATTTTAAAAAATTTTAAAGACTTGAAACTTTTGTGTGAAAAAATAAATTCTCATATACGTTGAAATCAATCATCAATAAATGATACATAGTATAATAGTAACACTTTAAATTAATACTCTAAGAACCGTCCCCACCTCATTAATATGAATAGTTTATTAATTAAGACAGGGATGATA